GATGAAAATGCTCTACACGTATTGGCCCACCAGTCGTATTGGTCCGCTTGACTCTTGGAGCATATTTTTCCTAAGTGCCAGAGGCGTATTAATTCGCGCTTCGAGTCGCTCTGGAAAACGTAATGTCGGCGACAGGAAGAGACTATGTCGGTGTTTACGCTATTTATATTGACTCCGTCGTGCTATCTTTCGAACAAATCGACGAAAATGGTCGAAACGTATTGGTCTGCCGGTCGCATTCGCAATTTTTTCTACTTGTGATATTCAACTTTGTCGTGTATACTTGTTCGTTCGCGTGGACTTTAATTTATTCGCGCTTGTAAAATTGCGCGGTGGCAAACGCCGTAATGAATTCACTCAGCTCCGTAATGGAGTGGTGTAAATGCATCCGTACGCAAATGGTACGCACGAGCGTGTATACTTAACAGAGCGCACGAGACATAAATGCCGCGGGCGCAGAGACGTTCGCGTGTCTAATTTCGTTCGGCGGAGGCTGTTGCTAAAAGAGTGTCGAACCCGCTTAAAACTACTCCGGAAATGGGAATTCTTTTCGTCTGTTCGTTAATGGACACGTCCCACGTGCGATCCCCTCTCGAGTGTTTTGTCAATTCTGTGTACGCTACTGAAAAGCGCTTAAAGGGTTGCGCACACTCGACCACTCTAAAGGAAGGCTACATTTTATGAATTTATTTACGACCGTAAATGTAAAAAGTAAATGGAAAAACACGGAACGGAGACGTGAAAAATAAAAAGCGAGGAAAGCTATATTTTATGAATTTTTTTTCAGTGGAAATGATCTAAATGGAAAAATATAAAAAAAAAAAAAGAATCGTGTGGCATTTTTAAAAGGTCGTCGGATGAAATCAATTTTTAAAAAAACTGTCGAATCGAATACCACGATTTTCTACCTAACAGGGAAAACCACAAATCGTTATTTTCGCTGGATGAAAATAATTTTGTTCCCTCTTCGTCAGGTGGAGAGTGATTCTCCGAGTTGTAATCGCTTTCGTGGAATGCTAACGACGAACTTGGAGCGATTGAGTTTTCGGATGACACGGCGTTCCGAGCTGATCGCAAGCGAATTCGACACTTCAGCAGACCAAGGGAAACTTGGAAACTTTTTATCTCGCGTCGGATCCGCTTACTTTTCGCCGGCAGTTTCGCCGACCCCTGTTTCGATCCCTGTTGCAGGAAATTTGAAACTGAGTGCCAAGAATCCTCGATAAAAGTCGAAAGCCCGACGAAATGTTCTTTCGCGATCGAATTGCGACGCGTAGCGCCTCTGGTGTCTGGGGAAATTGCGTTTCAACGAAAATGCTGGGAGCTTTTGGAAGTATTACTGCGAAGAAAGACCACGAAAGGTTAAGAGCGTTCTATTTGTTCGTTATATATTTTGGGAGTTTAAGAGACCCGTGTCTCGACCTGGTGGACGAGGTAACTAAAATTGTCTCCTCTATAAATTTAATTTTGATCGTTGAATCATGGTTGAAACATCGAGAAGAATAATTGACAGCGTCGATGTGTTAATTATTATAATTTGTAGTCGCGCGAGGTTCAATAATATTCATGGAAATGCGCGACGCGTACAGTCACCCAGAGGTGTGGTGCTCGTTTGTTCGGAGTTCAGACGCAACCGTCGATGCTGTATCTCGTTTCGCATCCCCGGCGAAATTCGCAAATATTTGCGCGCCGAAGAATATTTGCAAAAATGCAGAATCCCGGGTGAACCGGTTGCAAGCATACACTACTCGGCCTCGCAACAGGATATTGGACGTCCCGTGTAAATGAAACATTTGTACAAATTGAGTTCTGTTCAAACTCAATTTGAAAATTTCGATATTACTCGATGGGAAATACCGTGTGCCGATGAACCGTCCCTAAAAGTGCAAGAGAAGTTTATTCCCATTCTTTTTTAACCGACTTCAAAAAAAGAAGGACGTTACTCGATTCAGCATGTATAATTTTTTTTTCTCTTTGTAGAAATTATTTTCTCGTATCGCACTAAATTCTATTCTACAATCACGATAATAACTTACTGAATCTGTATTTAATCAAAGTTATTGTTTTACAATATCATCCTTCAGTAACAGATCAGAAGAAAGTTATAAATAAATCTTTGCCATCCCCGGATCGCGAGCAAAGCAGGCTGGAAAAATTTCGAAATTGCTCGACAGAAGTTTTCTCCTCGTATAAAATATTCCCGCGAGGCTGGGTGTGGGTCTTTCTGTCCGTAATAAAAAAGGCGGACGGACGCAAGTTTCCCGCTAGAGAAATTTCAAACACTTCGCGTGCCTCGAGCTCGCGGAAACTCGCAAGAATCCGCCGCCCCCGTTGTTTTCTCGTTATTCCATATTGCACTTGCAGCAGTTTCATTACTCTTTCGCTCGAACATCCTCTCTCCCAGCGTCGACGGAGAATTTAGGCGAAAACCGGAAACTTTATCACGTTCTCGCGTAATTTCACGCTGACGTAATATCACCGGTGGGTCATTCGAACGCGAGCTGAAATTGTTTCTAGCGCCTGTCGCGTCGAAAAGTGCTTTATTTTGTTGCTTCGTGTTTTCGAAATGCGCGAAAAACGCAAGGGTCGATGAACGGGAGGGGGATACGTGTAAAAATTTGTGGCGGAGGAACGGGAGTCGAATGCGTGGAATGAAATTTCTGGCACGAGCCCTCGTTTCCGAGATACAGCGAAACCTCGATAATTGAACAGGCGGGCCCTACCGCTTGTCCACGCTCCGCAAACAAGTTCTTCGTGCAATTATCGTGGATTCTACGGTACCGATGATAAAAACACCGAATCCTTACCATTTGGAAATAATTAAGCATACACTTAACCCCGCGTCGTCGTACTAATGCACGTAATTTTTTGTTGGCTTCCAGGTAATTATACATCCACGTTGATAACCGCACGCATAAACGGTGGCGCCGTAACAGCCACTCGCAGCGACCAGATTCGTAAAGGCTTTACGAGGTGCGTAATTAAACCTGATCATCTTAACGACCATTGTGGCTGCCGATATCGTCCCCGTCTTCGGTCTATAAATACTCGCGATAGGCTTTTAATTGGAATTCATGGGGTCGGCCGCGTCGTATTCCCATCCGATAATCTTCGTTGCATCGCGTGATATCGGGCTAGCGAGCAGTTAGACCCCTTTGTGAACCAACGATAAACGCATCTCGGTTTCGCTCCGCTCGGTTACTGTAAATTTTCGAGCGGCTCGTTAATTAAACTTGAAGCTCATTTCGTTTCCTTCGCCCCGGCTCTTCCGCGATCGAGACGCGTTGAGTTCGTCGACATGCTTCGCCAGTCGCGAATCATCAGTCACGTCCGCGAAAAAAAGCTGGAGAATTGGGGCATCGTTCGTCCAAATTTTTTCTCGATTATTTTTCTGTCGTGAAACTGATTTTTGGAATTCGAGCAAGATTTTGTTTGAGAGATATAGCCTTTCTGATTGCAACTGCAGTCGACATTCAATCGTTTGCGTCTGTACAGTAAAGTTTCCATCAATGCACTGAAAGCATCACCAATACTGGGGGGTATACCCCTCTAAGGGCCAAGGAGTTTGATCGCTGAGCAGTGTTTACATGATCGTATATATCCTCTGATGTTTGCCGACGAGCTTCGAACGTAAAGAAGTACAGGGAATAAAAAAAAGGACAGAACGAAGACACCAGGGTATGTCCAGGGCTTTTTAAACTTTTTTCGTTCACTGGATGTCTATTTATTTGTTTTTATTATTGTATTTATTATAGTTTCAAAAAGTATCGCACCCTATTTTTCGTCAAAACTGCATTTCTTGGTATAACATAAATAAAAGAGAAATTTTTGATCGCGAACCATAGTTTAAGAAGCCCTGGTTTAAACAATTAGGAGCCCAGAGGATCGACGACTTCTCCTAATTTCACGTGAACGTATTTCAACATAATCAAAATCCGGGGCTATCTGATAATTCGCCCGAGACGCTTCGTCCTCTGTCGTCGGGCCAGCGAATGCCATAATGGAAGAGAAGAAACTGGCCTTGGCTGACATTTGCAAATGACGTTAGCCCGTATCAACCGAGCGGTTCTATCCGAGACAAAACGTCTTCTCTGACTTGGCGACGGAGTCGTCTCGTAAATTAGTTCCGAGTTAATCGGTGACGGCGTAGGGTAGCGAGTACCGACCCTTCTGGAAATATGGCCGCGCGTAAAGAGATAATTTGCATTTTAATTGCGCCAGTCTGCGACCCGTTTGTACCCCCGCAGCGTTGTCACCCCTGCAACCGGCTAGCGCCTTTTCCCGCGATGCTTCGCATCGAGCTACTATAGTGGCTGCATCTAGCTCTGGATTCAGTCCCTGTAATTCGCTCAAAATAGACGAAAGACTTGACCTGGATATTCTATGACTCATGCGTATCACTGCCATTACCTCGACTGCTTAAAAGAATTGAAAGTGAGGTTGGCAGCTATAGTATTTACGTTGATCCAATCCTGAGATATCTGAAATTCCCAACGATATAATTCTTTTATCGATACCTGAAGTCTTCAGCCATGCGTGTGCCAAGATACGCGAAACTTTGGCAAACTTCTTTCCCCGTTTTCTATCGTCGTCTAAAACTTTCACTTCACGAGTCACGCGAAAGCGCGGCGTTTAATTATAAGTGCATTCAATTTACTTGGTCGGTTCCTTTCTCTGGATTTCTTTAAATTTCTTCCCTCTTCAACCCCTTCTACATTGTTGGAACGGGTCGGCGAGGGACGAAGAGGGGCGGGAAGGGGGGAGGGCAACGGGGAACAGAACGCTTCAGAAGTTTACGCGCTGAAGATGCTCGCGAACTTTGTCTTTAGGTTCCACCCTCGCCGGAACCATTAATAATTGGTGGCTCTTAGAATAAGTCGCATAGAATAATCAATAATTCGATGAATCACAGAGAAGAGCGAATGACTCCACTGAAATACGAAGGTCCGTCTACAATAATGATCGGACTCGTGGTTGGAAGTCGCGTCGAAGTCGTCGCGTAAGCGAATAGTCGTTTTATTTTCCCTTGACTTTACAGAAAATGTCGCGTTGATTCCGAATACAGTAAAGACTGGATAAGCACAAGACAAAAGGGACCCGAACACTGCAATTATCCAGTCGAGGTTTCTATTCTGTGTTTATATTTGCCTCGAGTCGAGTGTCGAACGTAGAAAAGGACAGAGAGTGAAAGAGAAAGAGGTCCGAGGAAAAAAAGCAGTCGGTAAAAGCATATCGGTGAGACAATAGTGCATAGTCTCACCGATATTTGGATTAGGATCATATTACACTGCTCGCTCGCCGAGCGTCAAAGGGGAACCCCCCAGTGGTGGGGATAGTCAGCTTGCACTTATCCAGTCCTCACTGTAAATAATAACAGCTACATAAATATACAATATACGAAACTTAACGGTAATATATACATGATACCATTAACGCTAGGTAAATGCATGGGCGACTGTCTCTTCGCGAAAGTGTCCCACGAACGAGTGGGAATTCAATTTTATTTAATAGTCTTACGAAGTAACAGTCGGAAGAGCAATCGATATAAAATTATCAGCTAATGCCGCGACGTCTACCATTGCCGGAGACAATCAGTTAGAGTCCCCAACGCGTGGCGCTGCTTAAATATTAATTTTGCAAGTTTAATTCGATCCACGTCCGCCTCGACTATCGAGAGCGGGCTACGGTCTCGTGTATTCTTGGCAGGAACCTCTGTTGCGAGCGTCACCTGAACAGTTACAGGTTTATGGTGTTCCGGTTCCGTCGCTACTACTTTTACGACCTTTGCGATTGGCTGCAGCGGTTCCCTTGTAGTTGCGGTAAAGGTCGATACCGCTCCTCATGGAGCGTGTCGCACTCTGGTCGATATTTCATTTAGCTATCCATGCTCGTGATCATTTAGTCGGGCTTTCGCGAAACTCGCTGCGGCGCCAGGTGGCTGTACTTTGAGAACTCGTGAAAATTAGAGCGGATTGCCTTAGAGCTGTCACATAATATAATTTAGTATCTATTAAGACCTAAAAATTGACTAGAGTGTCTCTAGCAGACGACAACACCTGAATCCGAACTCGAGTCTAGATGCAACCGTTGCCCCAACAAGCGCACCAGGGCACGTTGCTGCTGCTGGTGCTAACCTTCCTCGTTTTGGCCCCAGGTATGTCTCTGCTGCTGATAGAGGTGGTCCTCTCCCTCTCGGAGTTCATCATCGCGTCCTTTTCCTTGCACATGTCCAAGCTACCGCTCCTGGCTGTCTTCACGGACGCCAGGGAGGGTCTCTTCTTCGCGTTGAAGTACAACGACATCCTCCTCATCTGGTCCTTCTTGGGCGAGTCTTGGCCCGACGAGGACGACCTGCTCTCGTGCTTGTCCTCCTGGCCCTCGGACGTGGTCGTCGTGGTGATGCTCAGCCTCCTGGGCTTTTTTCGCGGCACTTTGCCAGGTGACTCGGGTATCTCCGCCGAGGTGGAACTGCTCTGCTTCTTCAGCTTCCTCTGGGTTGCAGGCGAAACGGGGTTGTGTTCCTTGGTCGTCACGTTCTTGTCCTTTCTGATAGGCTTCCTCGGACGTTGGCCGCTTGGGGTCGTCGGGGCGCTCTCCTCCTGCGACTGCGCATGCTCGTCCTCGTGATGGGAGTCCCCGTCTATGGAGGTCTGCGTCTGCACCGGGACCTTCATAGCTAGATTGTCGTAGTACATCATTCCCCTTTGCGGATAGAGGCCTCCTCTCGGCGCGTAAGGCGCGTTTTGGTAAAGGTTCTGGCTCTGCAGGTAAGGGTTCCTGTTCAATCTCTGCAGGGTGCTAAGCTTGTACGGAGCGGAGGGACCCACTAGGGTGTGAGGACTTGGTTTCTCAAAGGAGGTCACCTGGATCTCGTGCTTGTTTCCCGGGGACGTCACGAGCTTTCCGTTGACTAGCTGGTTGGAGGGGATCAGAAGGCGACTTTGGTCGGGTTGAACGTGTTTGTACCTTTCGCCGGGATGGACTCTGTGGAGGGTAGACATGTCGGGTTGGGCCGGGTAGTAGCCAAGGCTGTCGTCGTTTACCTGGACGGACAAAGGCCTGGTCACGTTGTTTTTATCCACATAGCCGTAGCTCGGGTCGAACGTCCGTAGGAAAGGGTTCTTGAAGATGCGATAGTCCACGGATGGCAGCTTGGGAATTTCTGGAGTATCATGGCCTACTACCTCTTTTACCCAAGGCCTCTTTAAGGTGACACTCAGGTGGGACTTGAACGGCTTGGAGTCTGATATGTTGTCCAAGGTGTTGTCACTTTGAGTCAGCAGCTGCTGCCTGCCTTCAGGGCCAATGGAGGCAGCCTGTGACTCGCTGGTCAGGTCTTGGCAAGACATCGACTTCACCAGCTGATTGCCACAGGTGGATCTGTCGTCGTTGATCAGCAGGTTGTCCGTGCTCAGGAACGTCTTCTGGTCCCCCATGATTCTATAATCGTTGCCCTCACAGGGCACAGCTCCGTTCACGTAGACGTCAGCTGATCCCTTCTCGAACATGAACTGGTTCTTCGAGATCACCGTGGACTCGGTTCTCCCGCTGCTGGAGCTGTTCGCAGTTCCAAAGTGGCTGATCGTGGGCGAGGGTTCCTCGGCTCGCTTCTTCAACTTGGAGGATATCGGGGCGAAGAACTGTCTCTGCTGTGGCTTCTCAGTTCCTGCTAGCGCTAGACTCTCCTCTGGACCCTTCGCGCTTGTCAACTTTGAGGTGTCAACGTGGTAACTCCAACCGTTTTCCATGATGAGCCTCTCGGGCTTGGATTGAGGTTCTCCGAAGGATCCCGCGTTGACCAAGCCACCCTGCTGTTTGAGCCCAACGTTCCTCCTCGGAACTAGGTTCGGGAAGTTCGAGAATCCACCTGCCGCCTGCGCATACCGCTGCTGCTCCTGGGAAAACCCGTTGTACATCTGCATTCCCGAAGGGATAGCGATTTCGTGCGGGCCATAGGTCGCCATCTGCTTCTGAGGTACCAGGATGTTGCTCTGCCAGCCCACGGGTGGCACGTGCAGCGTCTGATCGTTCATCTGGCTCATGTTCAGGCCAGGCAGCCCTGTGATGGGTAGCAGAGGATCCGTGTCCAACCTGGGACACGACGAATCCATTTCCGTCGCGTCAGCGGGCATCATCAGATTCAAGGTGCTCGGGAATTTGAAAGGGCACCCGGCATAGTAACTGGTACCGCCCATGGCGGACGGTTCGTAGGTGCCAGGGTAAAAGGGAATGTTCTCGTGGAGATGCCTGGGCTTCAGGATTGGCGGAGGGCTCTTACCCTCCTTCGAGTGCTGGCCATCTTCCGAGGACCCTTTCTCCTTGTCCTTCTTCAATTCCTCCTCTTCGTCGACCACCGACAGGTCGTCGAAGTCCACGTGTAGTCTGTGCAGGCTGTTGGTCATCTTCTCCGAGGAGATCTTCTGATTCTCCGCGTTCTCTAGCTGCTCGGCCTTGTTGAGGTCTTTATCGGGCTCCTGGCCGTTCTCCTCCTGGGCGAAGTCCTCGTCCTGCTCGGATGAGTAGTGCGATTCCAGACCGTCATCCTCGTCGGAGCGATCCTGGAAGAGAGCATTCGTTGCGATCAGTCTGACATGTTTTAGGGGGTCTTGGTTAGTGTCTTAGATCGAGTACCATAGGAATCTGAGAATATTTAGATCCAAATCTAGAGCTGGAGGTCCATTAAAAAGGGATTCTATCGTTTTTTAAGGATTGGTTATTTTCTGATAAATATTTTGTTAGGTACCTCGTATTCTTCGCTTCCTTCGCGGCTCTTCTGCCTCTTCAGGATCTCCTCGAGCTTGTCGTACTCGTCCCTGAGGCTCCATATCTCTCTACGTAGCTGCTCGTTCTCCCTGCGCAGCTTCTTGATGTCGTTCTGACCTGAAACGACAGGCAAGCATGTATCCCAGCTCGCGAAAAGGCGCGTCTACGCTGGACCCACGCGGTGTTTTTCCCGCGTAAATCACTTAATCACGATCATGGCAGCGGACGGTCTGCTCTCCGCACCTATCGAAACGATCAATCATCGGTCAGCCCGGGCAAGCAATCTCTGACCTCCGACCCCGACGTCTTTCGACGCGTCGAGAAGCCTGGGTGATAAATCACCTAGGATCGAGACCTTCCAATTACTTAACTGCCGGGGATACGAATAAAGTTCCACGGGCTTCTAATCTTGCAGACGAAAGGCTGCGAAACAAATGAAAAATCGCGATGTCGCAGAGCCGGGCTCCTTTTCTCGCGTTTCGAGCACGGCGCTTGATCGATCGTTACGCGCCGCCTCGGAGATTAGGTGACCGATTAGCTGGACGTACAGTTTGTTTCCTTTGTGCCTGCCTCGTCGGAGTGATTAATGCGGCGTTCCTTCGCGGCGACAGGCGGGAGAAGACGAAGAGCGCTGCTCGAGGTACTGCCGCGGTTATCGCAATTAATTGCAAACAGTGGAGACAGAAAAATCAACGAAGTTGGAGAACTTTGAAAAATTAACGAAGTTGATTAAAATTTTAAACTGAGGGACTCCGGGTGTCTTGCGAGCGTGCAGGGACTACGAGTGTCCAGGGTCTAGGGGTATCTTACTTTAGGAGATCTAGATGACCCCTAATAGTGTTGGGACTGTCCAAGCTGAGGAGTGGACAGTGGAGCAGCGAGTAGCGTAGACGACTACCACCCCGAGAGCCTGGGTTCGAATCTCGGGCGCTCCGCCCCGTCCCGCCTCGATTTTTCACTGTTAGGTTAGGGTCGACTGACAAATATAAACATCGGAAAGCCGATATGGCATAAGCAATGGAAAAATAAAAGATATTAAAAGAAAAAGAGAAATTGGAAAGAAGAAACACATAGTAGTGAAATATGGGACTACAGTTACGCCCTCAGGGGCTGTAGCGATGTTTGTAGCTACAGTACGGGCTTAGCAACCCCGAGGTACCCGAGCTATAGGGGGACCAGCGAGTCCCAATAGATGAAAAGGAAGAGACACTGCAAACAGTATTCAAATAATGCAGGAATCACGTAAGACGATGATACGAACAATGGAATTAAGCTAGTAATAAGGAAGCAGTAGAGCAATAACTTTGTATAATAAGTTATGCACTTTAAATAAATTAATGAATTAATGACTACAGTTCCCATTCACCTTAAAATAAACAAACACAAAACAAAGACTGTCCTCCAAGCCCCATCTATGGATAGAATATAGCAGTCGTTGACTTGGACGAAGTCAACATTACCAGTTGGATCCTCGATTATGCTACCACAAAGAGAATCCTTGCACTTGTCTGTCATCCAGGATACGAAAGCAGCTGGTCCAGTTGCTCCGGGTACTCATTGACCACGGAAACGCGCTTTATGAGGATTCGCGTGATAACAGCTCGGTTAGCCTGGTCAGTGGTCGTATATACCGGTGTAACAATAAAAGCCGCGTGGTAAATCAGGATTAAAGCTGCCCTCGCCGGTCGGAAATTTAAATAAATTAAATCCTTCCGGGGGTTCATAAATTCGGATTTTCCACGTGGACACCGACGGCTATTTAGATCCTATTAAAACCCGTGGGCCCTCTATCTCTCGGAGGCGTTCGCATTTTTTTATCCTCTCTTTTCTCATCGCCGGAGGAATTCGCGGAATTAGCCCGGTATCTCGGTTGACCTGGTGACGATATTTAAAGGCATTACCCACCGCGACAAATTGCGCGAGTTCGCCAGAATCCGTCGCCTTGTGCGGCTGGAATTCTTGGAACTCTTTGCGCTGGTAGGGTGCGAGGTGACTGACCCGCATTTACTAGTGTATCCTGTTTCATACTTAGGGATGAAGTATGCTAAAGGAGAGGCTCTGTACCATTTCCTCTCAGATTGTAACAATTTCTCCCTGCCAGGTTTTTGCAAACTTTTATCCTCATTTTCGTCACTAACATCTTGCTGAAGCAGAAGCGAGCCCAGACTTACATCTCCGAGTAAAGAGCTACCGTTCACGATTCCCGGAATTCTTGCGATCGTAACCCCTCCAGCCCCGAAAGCTTCGAGGTCCTCACCTGGAAGAACATGGCTGACGGACGACCTCCGCGAAAGGAGCCAGTGGTCGAGTTCCACGATCGTTAATAACACGGTGCCGCGTAAATATTTTTACCTCCGACACGCAAACAGGCGAAATTCTCGCCGGGGGTTCAATCAGTCGGGCTTACGAGATTTCTTGTTTCCCGTTCAAAGGGAGAACAGCCCGCAGCCATTTCCTCCGCGTTCGTTCGTTTGCGCGCGGGACGCAATTTCCATTTTTCAAAGGGCCAAAACATCGAGGAACCGATGGAAACTTGACGAAACCAAATATGCGTCTCGCAGCTGCTTTGATCAGCTTCTTCCAGGGTGAGGTGGGGGGGGGGGGGGGGGGTGGGGAAAGTCACGCGCAGTTTCCTCTCCTTTTTCCATCGAGCATACCCAATCTCAAAGTTAATGTACGTCGTCTCTGTTTATGTACCTCTTCCGGGGCAATCCAGTCGCGAGCAAAACGTTTCGCTGCCTCGAGAAATAATTAATATCGTGGTTCCGAGGAACGGGGATGGGGTACGGTTGTCTTTTTGTTGAGCGCGTGTTATTAAAGATGAAGGGTTTTCGACGAGGCACGCGATCGTTCCACCCTTTGGGAGGTTCCGCGGTGGGTGGATCCCCGATAATTTGTACGGCACGTGTTGGCAACGAGCACCTTTCGTTTTCTGTGGAGGAAAACGCAACTTGGATACTTGGATTATACATTGTAATTTAAATACCGATATCGTAGGGACGTGGGTTAACAGTGGCTAGAGTTTATACCGTTTCCTATCGAAGTGTCGAAGTCTCTCCCTATCATGTTGTCACAAAGTAATCAAAGCTATCCTTCTAGCTTTAAATACTAATCTTATATACAAGAGGACTATCAGTGTCTAGCGTTTAAGTATTGTCTCAAGATAAGCAACTCGCTATACCCACCATTTTATTTGAAGTCGCCCGCCGAGTGAGAGATCTGACAAGAAGCGAGAGGCCCGTGAAAGCGAGAAGCCATAAATCTTTCACGGTCGACTGAACAGATCAGTGGAAAGAGCACAGAATATGTGTAATGTTCTCTCTCTCTCTCTCTCTCTCTCTCTCTCTCTCTCTCTCTCTCT